ATTTGATAGTACGCTCCCGATTTTGACCATTTGTTGTCTGTTTGACAAGAATGCTTCTATCCAGTTATTCAGTTGTCAGTTATTCAGTTATCCAGTTATTCAGTTATTCAATGTAGTGGGGCTGCCCATAAGCCCCAGAGGGATCAGCCAGGGCAGTGGAGCACATAACAGTGTTTCCAAGCGCCCAGCCCCCTTTAAGATGGGTGGACTTCAACTCCCAGAATTCCAAGCTGGGAAAAATACTGCTGTACCCCCCCCCCCAACTGAGGCATTCTGGGAGTAGAAGTCCATACATCCATGTCAGAGAGGCTAAGTGTGAAAAACACTTCTCCAGTCCTACTGATTTCTGGCTGGGGTCTTTTGGGGGAAGGGAGGAAGTCCACCCCTCTTAAACCTTCCAAGGTTGAAGGAAAGAAAGGGAAGCAGGCCAGAAGGTTAGAGCCCGGAAACGTTGCGCCGCGGAGAGCGTTTCCCGAGGGGGACACTTTGGACATTGCACCCCCAGCGCTAGAGGCGCCCACGTGATCAGAGGCCGCGCCACGCTATTGTATGAAGAGTCGGCTCCTCCCCCCGGAAGTCCCTTCTGCACTTCCGGTGTCCGTCCCTCAAAACGCGCCTCCGCTCGTCCTCGCCCGTCTTGGGGCTCGTGGGTTAGTGTCTCCCCGTCTCCTGCCTCTGGTTTGGGGCGCTGCTCCCACGGGCAGCCCCGGTAAGAGCCGCCCCTCTTCCGCCCTTTCTCTGGACGTGGGGAGCGGGCGTTAGGGGTGTTCTCCGCCCGAAAAGGTGGGGTAAAATGAATAATAATGATAATTTAATGAGTGACCGAATGAATGAAAGGAAGGAGGCGGGGGGGGGGGGGGCTCCAAGCCAGGACCTTTCGGCCTGCCTGCCTACCTCACAGGGTCGTTGTGGGGAAAAGAGGAGGCAGGAGGAATAGGGACCTTCTGCGCCTATAAAGGGGGCATAAGAGCGTGTGTGTATATCGTTATAACTATAATTTTACACACACACACACGCATATTACATGTACATTAAACACACACAATTTTATCCCACCTTTTTAGGCGCAGAAGATATATATATATATTCTGTTGTGTGTGTGTGTATGTATGTACGTATGATACTACAAAATGATATGTACATGTAAAATACATAGTTTTAATAATATTACAAATATGTCTACACGTGGATTTTTATATTTGTGTTCATGTGTATATAAATATAAAAAACATGTAAAAGAAACAGGTTTAGGAAAGTTCCTTACCTAAAAGTTGGGATAAAATTCTATCACCTGTCTATCTACCTCTTGTTTGTCTCTATCTACCTATGTACCTACACTCCTATCCTATCTTTTATATCATCTATAGCTATTTATCTTCCTTCTATCTATCTTCGTTCTATATCAACTATATCTCTTATTTTCCTTCTATATCTACCTATCTATCTCTTCCCTATTTATCTATCTATCTCTTCATCTAATATCTATCTATCTATCTATCTATCTATCTATCTATCTATCTATCTATCTATCTATCTCTTCATCTAATTCTCTCTTCATCTAATACCTATCTATCTCTTATCTATCTATCTATCTATCTATCTATCTATCTATCTATCTATCTCTTCATCTAATTCTCCATCTAATTCTCTCTTCATCTAATTCTCTCTTCATCTAATATCTATTTATCTTCCTTCTATCTTCGTTCTATATCAACTATATCTATCTCTTATTTTTCTTCTATACCTATCTATCATCTATCATCTATCATCTATCTATCTATCTATCTATCTATCTATCTATCTATCTATCTATCTATCTATCTATCTATCTATCTCTTCATCTAATTCTCTCTTCATCTAATATCTATCTATCTCTTATGTATCTATCTTTTCATCTAATTCTCTCTTCATCTAATATCTATTTATCTTCCTTCTATCTATCTTCATTCTATATCAACTATATCTATCTTTTATTTTCCTTCTATACCTACCTACCTACCTATCTATCTAGCTATCTAGCTATCTATCTCTTCATCTAATTCTCTCTTCATCTAATATCTTTATCTATCTATCTATCTATCTATCTATCTATCTATCTATCTATCTAT